TCAGTGATAGAAACTATTATCTCTTGTGGCTATTCAGACCTTTGATGATGTGATCAGGAGAGCCGGTGAATAACAATACCTCTACTCAGTCCACTTAAACAGATCGCTTCCGGTCACAGTGCTAGCTTCTTACAAACGAAAACCTTGAGTGAGAGAGCGAGAGAAAATATGGCTAGGATTTCAAGACCAAATTTTCATCAAGTGAAAATGCTTCAGCACAAGGATTCTATTTATAGAACCACTTGTGTGAGCTGCAAGCTAAATGCCCAATTAAGCTTACAAGCATCATACCTTACGATGTACCATATATCACTTAAGCGCGTGGTACCTTACCATATTCTGTATTCCACTTAAGCGTGTTGTAACTTACGGTATTCTACAATTCTCTTAAGTCTACGTACCTTACGATGTTCCTTATTTACTCTATCTCTCATCAACCTATCGTTATGTGTGTGACCCTATAGGTTTTCGCGACGTTGACAATTATATTAAATTACACATTTAACATAATAAATAGTGAGTGGTATCTAGCAACACATCACTGCTACCCAAGTCACAAAAATGTCATGTGATCTGACAAAACCTTTATGTGATGATATTTGTGTGTACAATTACCCTTTTCCCCTTATATCTATATTGAACATAAGGCATAAACTGTGTCACCCTTGTCGAGTTCAATATTGGGCCCTTAGACATTTATCCTGTTATGCGTGATGGGAAAATTCCATCTAGGCCACTCATGTCCCTCAGCATGCTTTATGAAGTACCCATCAACTATCTTTATGGTCATCCAGTTACAGATAGTGTTTGATCAGTAATAAAATACTTAACTCTAGATATATGATCCATAGTGGTTTTAGGTCGAAGGGTGGTATACACCATTATCACCATGAGAATAACTTATGACACCTTGCATAATATTCTATGTAGTATTCTCATAGCGGGTCAATCTAATATAAATATTACTCCTAATATTCATACATATGTGAAGACTTGATAACTTTTTATCCATGATCTATGAGATGTGATCATCAGTCTATCTACATAATAATCCCAATGCTTTAATGTTATCCCATTTTGCAATAAATCTCGACTACAAATACTTTAAGAATAATGTCCTTATGTTTAATGGGATCTCATGATTAAGTCACACTTAACATTTCATTGAACAGACGAACTATTCTAGGGACTTTGTTATTTTGGAAAAGCAAACATAATAAAGAAATGCTTTTTATTATTAATAAATAAGTCAATACAAGTACCAAAAGTATTGGCCTCTAGGGCTTACACTAACATATACTTATAACAACTGATATGCAATAGTAGGATTATATACAAAGGCCTAAAGGGAAAAAAATAAAGGAAACTATCTACACTAATAGCCCCCCTCAAGTTGGAGTATATAATGTCTTTTAGACCCAACTTGGATATAAATGTAGACAATGGTAAAGGATCAAGTGACTTTATAAGTAAGATCAGCAAGTTGCATTTGTGAGGAAATAAGTAGAAGGTGAAACAATTTCTGCTAGAATTTCTCACAAACAAGGTGGCAGTCGAGCTCTATGTGTTTAGTCTTTCCGTGAAAGGATACATTTTAAGTGATATGTCGGAAGATTGGCTATCACAATATAATTTAGTAGGAGAAATGAAATTCAAATGGAAATCTTGTAGAAGATAAGTAAGCCACTGAATTTCACACACTTTTATGGACATGGCACAATAATCAACTTCAGTTGAAGATTTTGAAATTGTTGCTTGTTTCTTCGATTTCCAGGAAATGAGATAATCCCCTATAAAAATGCAATATCCTGAAGTTGAGCGTCTATGTATCTGAGAATGTGGCCCAATCCAAATCGCATAATGCTTTGATTTGTAGAGGTGATGAAGCGGGATAGAAGAGACCAACTGCATGAACAAATTTGATATATCAGATGACTCGTAATGTTGCTTCAAAGTGCAAGTTTGTTAGTTTACTCATGAATTGGTTGAGTTGTTGTACAAAATACGATAAATTTGGTCGAGTGTTGGTGAGATAGATTAGTTGTCCCATGAGCTGTCTTTATGGTGTAGGATCAGATAAACTGTCTCCAGAATCCAACTGTAATTTGGTATTGCGCTGCATTGGCGATGGGAGAGGCTTTGTGCTGAGTAAACATGTGAAAGATAAAAGTTCTAAGGCATATTAACATTGACATAAATGAATACCAGCATGAGAACGAGAAATTTCAAGGCCTAAGAAATATTTGAGATGTCCAAGGTCCTTTACTTTAAAAGTTTAATGGAGAAAATATTTTCATGGAAGTAATTTCATTGATGTCATTGCCAGCTAGAACTAAGTCATCCCACATATATCAATAATGCAGTAAAAGAGTCATCCACATATATCAATAATGCAGTAAAAGAATGTTTGCAATGTTTGATGAAAATAGATGGATCAAAATATGTTTTAATATAATTTTTACTTGTCAAAGCATTGGTTAGCTTAGAAAACCATTGTTTGCTTGATTATTTTAAGCCATATATTGATTTGTTTAATTTACACACATGGTTAGGTTTGGTAGAATAAAGTCCATGTGGTATATTCATAAAGAGTTCTTCTTCCAAATCACTGTGATAAAAAGGAATTGTGAATGTCTAGTTGGTGAAAATTCCAATTTGAGAAGATGCAATGGCTAAAAGTAATCTAATGGTTGTTAAATTAGAAACATGAGAATAAGTGTAAAAAAAATCACTACCTTCAACTTGATTATAACCTTTAGTGAATAGGGGAGCTTTGTAACGTTCTATAGACCCATTGGCATGTGTAGCGGTAAAAGTAATGAAGTCTCCACTGAGTATTTATTTATCCCACATAAAGGGAAAGGAAAATCATCAAAGAAAAAGTTAAAGGGGGAAATCAAGGTCTTGCGACCGAGAGATTGGGTACGGGAGTCGATTACGCGAGGGGAAGGTATTAGCATCCATCACGTCCATAATACTCTATGGGATCCACTCATGTTGTTCTAATCAAAGGGTGTGTTCAATCTAATGCTTAAGAGCTAAAAGAAAAAAATTGCTAAGAGGGAATGCATGCAAAGAAAACACGGGGAAAAGAAGGAAATATTTACAAATTTTTGCTCGGCTGAGTCCCAGTGACCAGATGCCTATGTATAACTTTTAAGGAAGCAGAGCGTCGTAGTTCGGCCCCACATGTTTCTGTTTGTTTATATTTTTTAAATAAGCAATGTTAAGTTCAATCATTCCACCGCCACTCGACCATTGGAGACTCACGCACTATAATGGAAAGGAATCAACACATTCTTAGACGAGAAAAGCCGAATGGCAAAAATAAATGAATTGGTTGGTATTTTTTTACCATGGAAAGGATTTTTATATGTTTAGCGTGCTTTATCCATTTTCCAAGAAAAAGAATTTTTAGTTTTAAATGAAATTATGCAAAATGGGAAGAAAACATCTAAATGAGACTAACCTGTCTCAGACCTAGTGTTATCATGCAATGATGGTCCTATGTCAAGGATGGAAAGGGATATGTTAGCATGCATGGGTAACTATCTGAATGTCTAACTCAAAAGATATCCTAATCGAGTAACCCTAAGGGAATATGCAAAGATCGAAGTCGTTATCTCAATTCTAATTGAGTGACATCATCGATCGTCAACAAAGGAACGTAAAAATCCTAAGGGGAGCATACAAAATATAGAAGTCGTTATCTCAATTATAATTGAGTGACATCATTGATCATCAACAAAGGAATATGAAAATCCTAAGGGGAGCATGCAAAAAATCGAAGTCGTTATCTCAATTCTAATTGAGTGACATCATCGGTCATCAATAAAAGGAAAATGAAAGTCCTAAGGGAAGCATGCAAAAGATCGAAGTTGTTATCTCTATTCTAATTGAGTGACATCATCAATCGTCAACCCATGAAAATAAGCACAACACAATTAGCAAACAAGTGAAGAATGTCTGCTATAGGTATTTAAACAATGACTTCTAGCGCACGCTCTTTATTTCCTACTTCTCATGATATCTAGAAAGCAATAAAATGAAGAAAGATAAATTGGAAGCAGTATAATACCAAACGAATAGTAATTTCCGCAAAAAAAAGAAACCAAAGCAAAGAAATTCAGAATACTTCGCGCGAGCTAGCATCAACAAACACACAATCAGAGATCAGATGTTGGGAATAAGTGTCGAGGCATCATCAATGTGAAAATAAATCAAGATCGAAAACTCAAGTATGTCCGCATATCACACACTAAACCTACATAGACCTCAAATCTCGACAAGCAAAAGTGAATCGCAAAATCTTGACAACAAAAATGATTACTGAACATAAACAATAATAGAAAGTTTTAACTAAATTTCTAAAAAAGGAAATCTTATAAAAATTCTATTATATTCTTACGAAAAAATTAAGAATTTTTATTGTTTTATTATTCTTTTTTTATACTAATTTCTATTAACAAAAATTACTATCTAACAATTATATATATATATATATATATATATATATATATATATATATATATATATATATATATATATATATATATATATATATATATATATATATATATATATATATATATATATATATATATATATATATATATATATATATATATATATATATATATATATATATATATATATATATATATATATATATATATATATATATAAACTAAAGAAAAGCTAAAAACAACTCTACACGGGAGCGTAAACTAGGGAGTATGTGTAGCAAGCTATAGACACAAAGGCCCAACATAGCCCAACATAGATGAATACATATCCAGTTTTTTTTTTAGTCTAAGGCATTTGGCTTTCCAAAAAAGGTGCCATGGGCTTAAAGAGATGTGAGCCAAAAAAACATTATCACCACATTTTTAGCATTATTGAATTATGATCATGATTATATAAGAAAAACAAAACACTGAGAGCCAATGGACACCAAACGCCGCGTATTGACTTAGTGAGATTAAGGTTGATTCACTGTGATGTTTCAACTTCTGTTCCCACAAGAAAATCCGCTTTCTCCCTTTAGAACTCGTTGTTCCCGTATCAACATTCTCTCTTCACCGGCGAGTTCTGCCTATCTCCGCCTATCTCATCCTCCATGTTACCGCAAAGTTCTTCTCCTTCGATCCCTCTATCTCAGGGCTTTCAAATTATAGCATTGTCTCAGTTCACGGCCGTTGATTCGTTCATTTCAGATCGCTCACTACCATAGAGATTCAATTTGTTTTTCCTTGTGATTTTATGTTATGGATTTTGCAGTTAGCTTGGCCATTCTGTTTTATGACAGTTAGGAATTGTTCAAATCTGTTATGAATTCTGTTATAACAGTGAAAATTTAGTTAGCATTCTGTTATGAGTTAGTTGGAAATCGGTTATGTTGTTAGGGAAGTTAGAGGAATTGGTAATTCTATTTTTTTTGAAATTTATGTTAGATTCAATTTGCTTTACAAATTAGTAATTCACGTTTAAAATGTATTTCTGATTTTCTGGTGTCATGAATGTGGCACAGTTGTGATGAATGAGTTAACTCTAAACTGGTTAACTTGGTTTAGTGTTAAACTGTTTGTGAAGTTGGCTTTCTGGACCGGTTTTGCTTCAAGATTTTGCAGGGGCTGTTTATGTAAATCACAATAGGGCACAAGTTTGTATAAATTGCAGCATCAATTTTCTGTTGTGCAATTGATTTTTGACTGCCCTTTTCTGCATTGGTTTTCCTTTACAGGTTTTGTTAAAGGTTGAATAGGAGCAGGGCACATTTGAGTTATGAAGAATCGTGAAGAACATCTTGAAAAATAGTGAAGATGGAGTAGCTTGGATAATTAGAGTGAAGTTTGGCAAGAGATGGACTTGAAGAAAGAATGAAGGATGTTTAGGATTTTTAAGGGTAGCTTGACTTTGGGTCCCAAAATGGGAGTTTTGTAATTTCTTTTGAAATCTCTTTTTTGTGTTGTAATAGCTTCTCTTTGTACATCCAAACTTGAATTGTATTTGTTCCTCTTTTGAATCAATGTTCCCATGAATTATGGTGAATTTCGATATTTGGCGAACTTGAATAAATGCCTTGAATAATACTTGAAATAATGGAAACTATATGAACTTTCCAATCTTGCTTGAATTAGTTCATGAACCAAAATATGCACTATAGCACATATGCACCCTTGAATCAAACTTACATGCTTCCATGATTCAAAAATAAATTTTTAACCCATGCATACTCTTTAATGAAATTGTATCTCCATGATTAAGCACCATGTTTCAAAGAGTGCCTTTGAAGTCATAATAGATTTAAGAAACATGTCAACAACCCTAGTTTGACAGAGTCATGCATACATGAAAGCTTGACTCATGCTTTGCTCAAATAATAGGAACCTCCTATAGGAGTAGATGTCTTGATTCAAAACTACAAATAAATCATTGTATGCAAATCCACTCTCTTGAATCTTTGAGGAGAAAACCTTAATGTCATAACTTGTGAAACCAGTAACTAGGAGGGGTTCTTAGATGGAGATCAAACTTAAGATGCTTAAGATAACCAGAAGACAACACCATAATCCTTAGGATCCTCAGTTGATATATAATCGAGCTCAAGTGCAATAAATAAGAAACCCTAACTTTTGACCTTTAATGACCATTGATGAAGAAATGGTCTTGTATCTTAAGGAAACCTGCCAATGAAGACGTTGATGATGTTTGTGATCTAAAACCCTAGTTCCACGGTCCAAGAATGATGAGAACACCAGTTGAATCAACTTTGAATAAGATATCAACCTCAATTCATAGGGAAAAACCCTAATGCCAAGGAGCCCTTTGATCCCATAACCATGGAACTGATGATATGCATGATATATATATATATATATATATATATATATATATATATATATATATATATATATATATATATATATATATATATATATATATATATATATATATATATATATATATATATATATATATATATATATATATATATATATATATATATATATATATATATATATATATATATATATATATATATATATATGATGTGAGGAGGGATCTTAGGGATAAAAATTGGGGTATAACCGCATGGTATTTAATCTTGTACACCCATTTACAACCAATAGATTTCTTACTTGGTGGGAGATCAATGATAATCTAAGTTTTATTAAGGTTGAGAGCATGAAGCTCATTAGCCATCGCATTGCCAATAAGCAATCTGGGCAGCCTATTTGTACGTGTGTGGCTCGTGATTACTGTTATAGCAGAAATGTAAGATAGATGAGCAGAAGAGATATTTTTATATGACAAAAATTTAGACAAAGGATAAAGATGATAACTGGTAACATTATAGCAATGGAAGTCTTGTAAATAGGCAGGTGGTTTAGACACCCAACTAGATTGTCTTAAAACTGTGTGTTCCTCATTAGTTAGATCCTCAAAAGGGGAAGTAGTAGGAACATTCTCAGTGGGACAAGAGTTAACAACCATAATATCGCTACGGGGGGGGGGGGGGGGGGGGGGGGGGAGGGGAAATGTATGTTAGAGTTAAAAAACATCAAAGAAAGAATAATCAATAGCATCAACATCGGGGCTAGAGTTTTTAACAATTTTAGTTAACAGATTAATGTAAGAAAAATGTGTTCGTGAAAAATAACATGTCTAGATGTGAAAATATTGTGTGTATGTATGTGTGTGTGTGTGTGTAAATCTAAGAGAACATATCTTTTAGTACCATTTTTCTATCTCAAACAAAACATATTTCCTTGCTCTAGGATCCAATTTGTCTCTGTTTTGCATCAAGGTAGATGCAAAGTATTAATTATACGAATTATGTGATTGGCATTATGTTTGGTAAAACTAATATAGAAGCAATATGTTAAATAGGATTTACTAACATGTAGAGAAAATAGGTTGAAGTTATATTTTATGAAGAAACATGTTGAGTTGAAATGTTTCAACATTTGGAGCAACATGTCGGATAAGATGTCCTATGCAGGGTCATACGACATCGCGCCTGAGCAAAGTTGAACAGTTGAATTATGTTATGATTTAACAGATGTAGAATAATATGGAAATATTATGAAATATTATGTGGTGTTGATTTGTATGTAAAGAAGAATATTTACTTTCTAAATAAGGAGACTTTTTAGGAAAGATTTGATTGAAGACCTATTTTGTAGCAGAATCTTCTGCAGATTTGTAACATCTAAAGAGTTGTGGTTTGAAGGCCCAAATACAGTTGGGAGTAGGTTATAAAGAGAATCTTTGTAACCTAAGAAAGGTATCAGCCAGAAATTAGAAAGATGTAATCATTAGGGTTGAGTCTGTAAGCCACTCTCTAAGAGAGTTAGCATGTGTGATCCACTCGATATGTGAGTTGGATTATGTTCCTTGGATTTCAAGGTTTTGTTCTCACTCATAAGCCTATAGATAATGAGTTGAGTATTGTTCTTAGAGGAATCTTTTAAGTAACTCCAAGTTGTGTTCTTGTCAAGTTTCTTGATGAGTATTGTCATGGAAGTGTGTCTCATGTTTTGCTGTCATGGAAGTGTGTCTTATGTTGGTTGTCTAATCACTTTTTGTGATTGATGAGGGATTGAGGAGGGCCTCATATCTAGGCGAGTCTTAGATATAAGTATAGCATGGGTAGTGATTAAGTGAGTAGATTGTAAACTGGTATATTTGTTGTAGGGTCTATGAATTGATACTATCATAGTGGACTTGTCCTTGGCTTAGTATGCCCCCAGAGTAGGAGAGTTGCTCCGAATTGGGGTTAACAACTTTTGTGTGTTGTTTATTGATTTTCAGTACTAGTTTTAATGTTTATATGTTGCATGTGTTGTTTAAGTCATATTAGATGTCCCAACATGTCATACCAAAATTTCAATTAGTATCAGAGCAGACATCTTGTTCTATTCTAGGTGAGATTATGGGATGATAATTGTTGGTCATGGGCAAGGAAGGGGGTATCTACTGAAAAGTATTTTGAACCTGGAGAGTTCATATTGTTGTTTGAGCGGTCCCTAGAAGTGGAGGATGGACTGTTCATGACAATGTGTGTATTGGACATGTCTGTGTTGTTATCAGGCCTGTAGATTTTATGGTGAACTGCTGTTTTGGTTTGATTTATTTTCAAACCTAATGTTATTTTACTTGCACGTGAACTGTGGTGATTGTGTGCAAGATTTTTATGTTGTTCCTGAAGGATGTGAAGATGTGAAAAACACAAGAAGGGGGGGGATTGAATTGAAAACTTGAATCTAAATGCTTAATGACACAGTATTTTTATCCTGGTTCGTTTGATCTCAAACTACTCCGGTCCACCCGTCAAGGTGATTTCGCCTCTCTCCAACGAGGTCTTAATCCACTAATCTTAATAAGATTACAAAACCTACTTTAACAACTTTTAAAGTCTTTTGAGTACAACCACAGTCTGGTTAATCTCAAGGGACACTATTTCAATATAATTATACAATATGTGTGTTGTTGTTTTTCTAATAAAAAACTGTTTATCACAACTGTGATAAATTACACAGGATTATAGCTTAGAGGAGTAAAATGAAATTGCTTGCAGCTTTGAATATGCGTGAGTGGTTATTTTGCCAAAATCTCTATGATTTTGGAAGCTGACTATGTTTAAATAGGCAGTGGAATGACGTTGATCATAAAGCATATTTAATGTCATTAACACACTTTCCTTTTGGAGAAGATCCTGTCTGAAAGAAGCCGTTGGAATTGATGTTGTCTTGAATGATCAGTAACGCTTCAGAATCTTATCTCCTTTCTTGCTGATGACGCTTCAGAATACTGATGACTTGGATTGATATGTTCTTGTTCAGAATCAGAGTTTACTTTGATTAAGCGCAGGTTCTGGTCATCAATCTTCAGCGTATGTTCTGATTGCTTCAGCGTGTGGCACTTATGGCTTATCTTCTGATGCAGATATGATCAGAACTTCTGCATACATAAAACATAATTTTTAAGGTGCATATTTTTTCTTTCTATTTTATATTTTATTCTTTGTATTTGTTATCATCAAAACTCTAATCAAGGGTTGTAGAATCAAACTATGTCTTAACAATCTCCCCCTTTTTGATGATGACAAAACTAGATTTTTCAATTAAAAATAAAGAATAAAAGGTTTAGAAGAAACTCCCCCTGAGTTGATTGCTCCCTTTAAGTTCCTTGAGCATCAGAGTTTAGCTCTATCTTTCATCATAGTTTATACCTGTTCAAGCTTTTCAGAAGATAGAGGTTAAGTAATTCAGAATGTTTGAGACTTCTGTCTCAGTAAACCATTATTGAAAATATCTTACTTTCTCCCCCTTTTTGTCAGTTATCAAAAAGGCAATATAATCAGAGCCAAAATAGTTGAATTATATTAAAAGCAAGAAGCGATGATAGGTTCCAGAACAGAAGTGGAAAGAAAAGAAAAGAAAATTAAGCGTTACAAATACGGATTTAAAATAGAAAAGAGTCTAGGATGGAGGAGGAAGACGTGTGAACAAAGCTTCCAGCAAGCCCTTGATCTGGGTATTAGATTCTTCTTGTTTGCCTAAGATGCTCTTAATTTCTTTGTTTGTGTCCTCCTGCTTATCCAACCTTTCCTGGATAAGAGCATTTGCTCTCTTCAACTCTTCCAGAGTTTGCTTGACTGAGGAAGGTGCTGGAGATTCTTCAGTAGTTGGACGCTTCTCAGAGCATTCTGCAGCTTGTTCACAGTGAACCATTTCCTCTGTTGTGATCATCTC